ATTGCAGAAATTTAACACAAGAATACAATACCAAAACTTGTTAAGGAAAAGAAAAAAAATCACCTATAAAGGAAAATCCATCAGAATCACAGCAGACTTCTCAACACAAACCCTTAGGTCAAGGAAAGCTTGGAGTGAAGTATTTCAACCCCCAAAAGAAAATAACCTCCAACCCAGATTAAAGTACCCCGCAAAATGGTCTTTCAAAGTTGACGGAGAAATAAAATATTTCCATGATAATGAACACCTGAAGAAATTCGTGACACCAAACCAACACTGAAAAAAGTTCTGAAGGACATTCTGGACAAAGAAAACAATTCCAAGGATCTTTATAAAATAAATCTACCTGGCAAGGCAAGCAATTAAACAGAAGGGAAATAAAGGGAACCAACAACAGGAAAATAATATGACAAGGATAAGTCATTACATATGAGTTAGAACCATTGAATGTAAACAGTCCCAATTCACCAATAAAAAGAAACAGATTAACAGAATGGATCAAGAAATAAGGTCCAACAATATGCCATATACAAGATACATGTTTAACTCAAAAAGAAACTCATAGATTGAAAGCCAAAGGATTGAAAACAATATCCATGCAACAGGGACCCAAGAAAAAGCAGAGGTATCTATTCTATTTGCAAACAAAATGAATTTCAAGCCAAGACTGATCAGAAGAGACAAACAAGGTCACTATATGCTTGTTAAGGGAACAATCCAATTATCTCATTAGGATCTTATGTACTATTATAGTTTTTCATACCAGAGAAAGTATTAACATGTAGTTTTTTATACAATGGAGTTCTACACTGCCATAAAGGAGGACAAACTTGTAACATCTTTAGGTAAATGGATGCGCTCTGAGAACATAATTTTAAGTGAAATAAATCTGACAGGCATGTTTAGATATCACACTGTTTCTCTTGTGTGAGAAACCCAAAGTGTACATAAGGACCCAAATGGATGACAGACATTGGGAAGTAAATAGGAAGAAAGTGTTCAAGTGGGAAGGGGAAAAAGAAAGAGGGTGTGGGAAAGGAAGGAAGGGAAAAGCAAGTAAAAGAGAATAGAAGGAATAAAATAGGAACAAAACTTTTGTAAATGGAGAGGGCAAGAAAAGTTGAAGGGAGGGGAATAGGGAAAGAAAGAAGAATCAAGGTGTATTATGTACAGTTACAAACTTTCTATGATGAATGTGATTATTCTGTATGTCAAAAATGTACCAATACAATGAATTTTTTAAAAGAAAGAAATAAGTTCATAGAACACAAGATAAACATAAAAGTCTATTATAGTTCTATACACTAGCAATGACCCAAATATTCCACTTCTATGCATATTCCCGAGCTAAAACATCATATTATAATACATTAGTACCAATGTTTATAGCAGCTCAATTAATAATAGCCAAATCTTTCAAGCAACCTGTATGAAAACACAATTCATAGTCATCCACCCAGAGAAGTTCATAATTGTAAATCTAACAATATATATATATGATTTATGTGGTGAAGGCTCTATATAGTGAAGTATTAAGGAAAGAAATCACTGAAGATTTGAATAAACAGCAATACATAAGCAGGTGTTCATGGATTAGAAGACTCAATATAGTAAAGATATCAGTTTTCTTCAAATTTATGTGGGGCTTTAGCACAATTCCTAATAGCTGGACATCCCTAGGCAAGAAAATGAACCTGAAGTCTCAAACCTTACCCAAAAATAACTTTAAAATAGATCACACTTCTCAGACGAACAAATATAAATGACCCACACATAAGTGAAAAATATGTTCAACATCACTGTTCATTAGAAAACTACAAATTAAAACAACACTGAGATTTTACCTTATACCAGGAAAAATGGCAATCATCAAGAAATCAAATAATGAATGCTGGCAAGGTTGTAGTGATAAAGGAACCCTCTTGTGTCATCTGCAGGGGGGAATGTGAATTACTACAACCATTATGAAAATCAGTATGGGGATTCATCAAAAACTAAAAATAGAAATTCCATTTGACCCAGCTATTCTCGGTCTAGGTATCTTTCTGAATGAGTTAAAGATGTCATATTACAGTGCTTGCTTCGGCAGCACATATACTAAAAAAAAAGATGTCATATTAAAGCAATACATGCACACCAACATTTTTAGCAGCCCAATTCACAATAGCCAAATCTTGGAAGCAACCTGTATGTCCATCAACAGACAAATGGATAAAGAAAATTTGATATTTATACACAATTGGATACTATTCTGCTATAAATAAGGATGCAATTGAACCTTTTGTAGAAGAATGAATGTACCCTTAAAAATAATATTAAGTAAAATAAATCAGACACACATGTTTAAGTACCAAATAGTTTCTCTTATATGAGAAATCCAAAGTACAGTATAAATAAAGAGCAAAATAAAAGACAGATTAAAGAAAACATGGAGAAAGATCTACTGCAACTGGGAAGAAGACCAGGAGATGAAGGGATCAAGAAGGGCACAAAAGAAGAGGACATAAAAAAGTATTGAGATGTGTCATGTATGAGTACTAAATACCCACAATGAAAGTCGTCATTATATGTGTGTGTATGTGTATATATATCACAAACATGTACTAGTAAATAAAATTAAATGCAAAAGCATATCAAAGATTTAACTTTAAAATCTAAAGCTATAAATCTTTTAGCTTTAAAAAAGGGGGATAACATTTTTTAAAATCTAGTATTAGACAAAGAGTTCTTAGACTTCACACTAAAAATATTGTTAACTCTTAGATGCATATAAGATGGAAATCAGATATAAGATGATTCTTGAGCCCGCTAACCTCCATCACCATTGCCTGCTCTCTTCTCCAGGGCCCTCTAAAGGAAGTAGGGACCTTCACACATGCTTCCAGGATGTTATGAAAAAGCTGAGAGTTTTTGCTCAATTCGTACAGAAATCACAAACTGGCAAACCTAACTCTTTTAGTGTCAATGGCCCTGAACTTCAGCTCCTTTATTGTTAACAGCCTTTCTTGCTGCTTGGAGCAAACAGCTACTGGTAGGATTCAGGGTATCTTCCAGCCACTAGAGATGGCAGTTCCCAGATGTTCTTTGCTGCTCTCCTTTGCTATTTGGCTGCCAGCCATCTTCAGTGTCAGCAGCTCAGTCACCAGCCACTTCAGAGAGAAATCATGAATAGGCCGAGATATGGTACTTGAAGAGACTTTCTTAGAACTAGTCCAGAACTAGAAGTGCTTGCTTATAGAGAGTGGTCATGGGTAAGGGAGAGGGCTTCTAGTAGGCCTGACTGAGGAGATCTGCAAAGGGGCGAGTCATTCAGAGGGGCTGCAGGATAGGGTACCTATGATAGGTCTGCCACAGTCAAAGGAAATATCTATTGGAGCAACCATGGAGGCCTGATGCAGCTGATGCCAGGCTATGGAGTGTTTGGGGCAGCTGAGACATAAAAGTAGGCTTTGAGGAGCATTGGGCCTTTCTCTTCTGTCTCATTATGAGCTATATAAAGACAATTTGATAAATTTGACCTCATCCAAATGAAAGATTTTTGATCTGAAAAAGACCATGCTAAAAAGATGATAAAAGCAAGCTATGGACTGGGAGACAATAGATGCAAAGCACATGTCCAACAAAAAACTCAAATCCAGAATGTAAAAAAACACTTAAAATTAACAGTAAAAGGGCCAGAGATTTAGCTCAGTGGTGCCACCACTTGCCTCACACGGTCAAGATCCTCAGTTCGATCCTGTACAAAAAACAACAACAACAAACAAACAAAACAAAACAAAAACTAACACTAAGAATTGTCCAATCAGAAAATGTGGTAGTGACTTAAACACTTTGCAGAAGACAATACTATGTTACTGATGACAAATGAACATGTGAAAAGATGAACATCATTAGCCACAAGGGAAATACAAACTGAAACCACAATGAAATGTGGCTCTACACTTAGAATGGCTAAGAAAAAATTGTGACAACCAGTGACGGTGAGGGTTCAGAGAAACTAGATCACTCACACACTGCTAGTGGGATTGTACAATGGTACAGCCATTCTATAAAAGAATTCCTTTTAAAAATAAACATATACTTTGATTCTCGTTGTTTCCCCTTGTCCCTGCCCTCCCAGATACAAAATCCCAATAACGAATGTAACTGTACTATATACCTAAAATGTACCAATAAACTCAATGAGGAAAAAAAAAATTCTAATATACCATAAATTGCATTCATTGTAATTTTAAGCTTATGATAAAGCAAATAAGACAGAAATATAAAGTGTACAAGAGAATAAATTACTGTTGAATTAAAAAATAGACATATACTTTGCATTTGTTTTGTTTGTTTGTTTGTTTTTTAGACAGGGTCTCACTACGTAGGTAGTTGAGAATGACCTGGAACTTACTATGTAGCCAGGCTGGTCTCAAACTCACAGCGATCCTCCTGCCTCAGCCTCCTGAGTGCTGGGAGTACAGGCGTGCGCCAACATGCCCGGCTAATAAACATATACTTTGAATATGACCCAGCCATTCCACTCCTGGACATTTTCCCCCAGAGAAATGAAGACACGTTCACACAAAAACTTGTATGCAGATGTTTATAGCAGGCTTAGGCATGGTTTATCAAAACTGAAAACAAACCAGTTGTCCTTCAAATGGTGAATTGTTAAGCAAACTACAATAAATCTATATTATTTGCCAAAAAAAAAGAGGAATGAAGCTTTGATACACATAACAAACCTACTGGAAATAAAGTGGGCAGTAAGAATCACTGAAAAATTTTACAAGCCCAATCATGCTACGAGCTGAAGAAAGGCAGGATCTTCCCAACGATATTTAAAGTCCGTTAAAACCAGAAGCAGCGGTTGCTACGGGGCTTAAGAAGGACATAGTTAGGGTCTTCCAACAGCCAATCATAGTGCCAGACGTGTCTGAGGGGGCGTAGCCCTGGAATGACAGTGGTCAATAGTAGACGAGCTTGTGACTATGGTGATTGGAAGTAGCCTCTGAGGTCAATAAAGCACCAGAGCTAGGACAGGCAGAGGATCTCTGGCCTGTTGGGTGATTTCAATCGTTAATGTGAGCTGCCAGCAAACTCTGATTCTCGCCTCCGGTTAAAGTCATGGAAGATCTTCAGAGCGAACGACAGCGGATGCTACGTCGCCACCACCTCGAGAAGAAAGAACTACAGGACCACATCCAGATCCTGAAGGCATCCATCCCCAGTAGCGACAAGAATAAAAGAAAGCAGTTGCTCCTCGACAAGGCCCGCCTCCAGGCCAGGATGAGGCAGAGGCACCAGCACGAATTAGAGGAGCTCGAAGAGAAGTTCCTTGGCAACAGCAGCCTGGATTCCATCACCGAAAATCTGGAGAAGATGGATCTCGAGAACCAGGACCCTGAAATCTCTAGGGCACAGAAAAGGCAAGAAAGACGAGCGGCCCTGGAGAGAGAGCAGCAGGATAGGGCCCTTGCGGCCGAGATGGAGCATCTGACCAGCTTCTGGCGGGAGGAGGAAGAGAAGCTCGCAACCATCTTGAGAGCCAAGTATCTGCAGATGAAGGATATCCCTGCCGACAAGCACTGTATGTACCGTGCCATCCAAGACCAGCTGGTGTTCTCCGTGACAGTGGAGGGCCTGCGCCGCCGCACCGCCAACTACATGCGGAAGCACGTCGACGACTTTCTACCCTTCTTCAGCAACCTGGAAACCGGTGACGCCTACACCCGCGACGACTTCATGACCTACTGTGACAGCATCGTCCACCACCCTTCGTGGGGAGGCGAGCTGGAGCTCAGGGCCCTGTCGCACGTCCTGCAGACCCCCATCGAAGTGATCCAGGCCAACTCACCTGCCATGATCATCGGGGAGGAGTACCACAAGAAGCCGCTCACCCTTGTCTACCTGCACTATGCCTGCAACCTTGGGGAGCACTACAATTCTGTGAAGCCACTGCAGGCCGGCGCAGCGGGTGGCCCAGCCCCGCGCCTCTTTTAGGCCTTTACATGTGCCGCAGGGCCTCGCGCTTGTGATGGTCACTGTGCCACTGTCTTTGCTGTTAGTTACAGCTATCTCCGCATCTTCTCAGTAAGCTCGATTTTTCTTTTTTTTTTTCTTTATTCTTTGCTTTACTTAAAACGTACCCTCCACCGCTATGTTCCTACCACAGCTTCTTTCTTTCCCTCTCCTTCAAGAGCTTTGAGCAATGGCAGTATGGTAGCTTATTAGGTTTATCCAAGGTGCAATTATTGCTAATTGACAACTTTGCCCAAGAGCTTCTTTGAAACAATATAGGACAAGAGACTAAAATGGGGGAAATGTCTGCTTTTACTACCTGAGGGATGTCCCTTTTATACAACCTGACCTCCTCTTGTCTCTACAAGCCTTTGCCTCTCCCCCTGATTCAGAATTGTTAATATTTCAAATAACTTTGGGCTACAAATGGAAATGTTTGCTTTAATACTTTAACTTGAGATAAATACTTGGCATCTTGAGATTTTCCCATGAATCTATTGGGTTGCTTCGATGAAAATGGAATTTATGTGATCGATATGATTTGTGAATGCCTTTTGTTCATTAAAAAAAAAAACATTGTTTCAAATTATTCTTGGATTTGCTTTTTATTTACATTGGGCTACTCAGGAGACCTCTCGGGTTATGAACAAGAGTTCTGTTAGTAATTTGGCTTTGTTTTCTTCATTCAAACTTGTGTGATTGCAAATTAATTTTACTTGCACAGGTGTTTGCTGAGCTCTAAATTGCGTTTGTTAAACTTAAAAGGCACCCCACTTCCCAAACCTCACCAACCCAGGGCTGTATTGCAGGAGAAAAAGTTCCACTCTAATTTCCTTTGGGTGATCCCAAATACAAGTATAAAAATCTTGCCAATTCACTCAGATGGCTCACCGTGTAAATGCGTGTGTGTATGTGACACAAGTTTCAGCTAGCCAGCTGGCTAAGGAGAAGGGCTAGTATTGGGGTAACTTGTGAGAAGAGAGCCTTTTACAGGGATGGGAACATTAGCTGGGAAGGGCACATAGGTTAGGGAGGAAGGGAAAGAAGCTGCAGGAGAGAGAATGGGAAGGGAGAGGAAGAACAGGCTAGGAAGGGAGATGAAAAGTGGCTGGGAAGGAGGATGCAGATCAGGACAGGGCAGCCTAAGAGGATGAATAGGGCACAGTAGGGAAAGCTGGGAGAGGCTGGGGGCCACAAGCTGAAGAAGGGAGATAGCTGAGGAACAGTGCATGGATGGTGAACCTGGCTATAAGGAGGGAAACTACATGGTCTGTGGCACAAGCCTGTTGGGGGGCCTGACTGGAGACAGGGGCAAAGGCTAATGAGAGGCTCTAAAATGGAAAAGATGTCCCACCGAGGTGGGGACATAGGGGTGGGAAGGGGATCAGCCTGGCTAAGGTTTTCATAGACAGCAGGGTGAGGGCCACAGACTTGAAAAGAAAGCCTGGATAAAGGAGGCTAGAGAAGGCCTGGAAAGGGGAAAGATCCAGGGTAAGGACAGGTACACAGGCTGATGAAGGGCTTCTGGTCAGGGAAGGTGATCCAGCTGGGGCTAGTTATATAAGGAGAGTAAGTGGGCATCGCTTAGAAAGGAAAGCTATCTGGGAACTGAGATGCATTTGGCAAGAGTCTTGACAGGTCTGGGCTGGGTGGATAATAGGGCAGGAAATGGGGCAGGACCAGGAAAGAGATACTGGCTATAGAAGGAGGAAAGGGCTGTTGGAGGGGCAATTCATTAGAGCAAAAGACCAGGCTAGAAGGGTACAGCAGATTATGATGAGATCCATGACTAATGAATGGGGGAAATGGTTGGGACAAGTTGCCCGGCAGACAAGGAAGACTTGATGATGAAAGGGGCCTGGAAGGAGAGTAGTCCTTCTTGGGAAAAGAGGCATTGTTTGGAGAACAGGGTTTGCCTGGAGGAGGAGGACTAGACAGGGGTTCTGTCTGGTAAAGGAGATACAAAGCTTATAAGGTTGGAGCAGGCTGGGGTGGGAGGACACGAGTTAGGAAAGGAGCCTGGTCAGGCACAGGAAGCTGGCTCAGAAAGGGGGCACAGGCAGCAGAGGGGGTCCTTGCTGGAGAATTGGGCCTGGGTGGCGAAGAGAACCTAGCTGGGCAGGGGACACAGGCTGGAGAGGGCCTATGTTATGAAAGGCCATGGAAGGAGAACAGAGCCTGAGTGGGACTGGAGGATATCTGAGGATGCAGGCTAGGTGGGCAGAAGAGCCAGGCAGGGGAATGACAGGGCAAGGAAGAAGGTCTTGGGGAAGACAGACAAACTACGGAAAGAGACCTAGCTGAGTAGGGAGGCAGAGACAGAAGAAGGGGATATAGCTGTGGCCAGGGAACAAGGTACGGAAGGAGGTCTAGTTATGAAGGTGTAGATAATAAATAGGTTGGGGTAGAGAGCTGATTAGAAAAAGAGGAAATGGTTGGTCAAGGGAAGGAGACCTACTTGAGTCAGGAGCCAAAGGACAAGAAAGGTGTTCCTGTCTATCAAGGAGGCCTGGCAGAAAAGCAAACATAAGCAGGAGAGGACATGGGCTGTGACAGGGTGAGGCTGTGGAAGTGCTTGGATATGGGCATTGCCTGTCTTGGAGCAGAAGTTTAAGAGGTTGGCACAAGCTGAGGAAGAAAGCCTGGCGGGGAAGACGCCAGAGTACGAGTAGACCCTTGCAGGAAAAGACTGCTGACTAGGGGAGGACTCGAGCAAGGGAAGAGGCCAGGGAGAGAGTCATAGCTAGAAAGGTAAACCTGATGGTGGGAGACATTTGAATACTGAGAACAACATTGGCTGGAGATGGGTCAGTAGACCTGGCCAGGCGAGGAGGTTTGGCAGGTGCAGCGGGACCGTTAGGGAAGGGATCAGATAGGATCAAGAGATCCTGGCTGAGTGAAAGCACTTGGTTGAGGAAAGGGGCCTCACTGAGGACAGAGCACAGGATAGTGATGGGGTCTGGATGAGGACAGGGTCCTGGCTGGACAGGGGAATCAAGTGGAGTCAGGGGGCTTGCCTGGAGACAGGGATACATGGATGAAGGAGTCCTGGTCAGAGAAGGGGCCCCGGCCGGCCAAAGTCCCTATGTGAGTGAGGCAGTGCAGCTGTAGACATAAATTCAGCCTGGGGAAGATTAACGGGTTGCCAAAGAGGACCTACTTGTCCAGGGGCCACTGGCCAGGGAGAGGAAACACACTAGGATAGGGACCTGGATAGGGTCATTGCAGAAGGAGGTACTGGCTGGGTAATCTGGCCTGAGGGTGGCATAAGTGGGTATAGGCAAAGCCTGCCTAGCAAGGGGAAGAGACCTGGCGGGGAAGGGGACCTCACTCGAGAGGAAGGCACAGATGAATGAAGAGGGCCTGGCTAAGTGAGGGAGCTTTGCAGAGAAAGTGGGCATGCGCAGGTTAAGGGCTCCTAATACAGGTGTGGGGAGAGAGGTAGGCAGAAGGGGGGTTAGTTGGTACCTAGTGGTGGCTAACCTATGGCATGTGTGCTGCAATGGACTATTTATATCATTGAAAGCTCTAAAAGATTTGCCATCACTAGTGTAGGGTACAGGTTGGCTTAGGAGGTAAAAGGAATTCCTGAATTTTGAAAGGGGAAGGGATAGAGAATAGCACCTGGCTGGAGGAGGAGGCGCTTACTAGGTAAGGATTTCTACGGGTGTGTCAAACACGAGAGCTGTGCGGGTGGCTTGAGGTGGGACACTGCTGCAAGAGAAGTGGGCTCAAGTTGGAAAGGAGGCATAGGCCCAGCAGGGGCCCTAACTGGGGAAGAGAGCAATAAGTCACTTAAGAGAGACAATATGTACCTGGCCAGCTATGTAGTGCTGGGGCTACCCAAGGAATTCTGTTATCCATATCATCAAGATGGTACAGCCCCATTTCACAGGCTTGTCTCTGAATGTAAGAGAAATAACGGCTCCTGTCTTGGGAACACTTATGATTTTATTGGGCCTGTCCCTTGCTACCTCCACTTGATCTGCCTCGGGTGGAAGGGAGATGGAAGCATTAACTCAGGCTGCATCCTAATCATACCCAGGGCACAAATCAGAGCAGACCTCCACTGTGAGATCCGGAGGGACACGGGGGATTTTCAGTCAGTTCCATTCTGTAACAGTGACACAGTCATTGAGGACAGCAGCTGTTTTGGACAGTTTCATGTATGAAAGCCATGGGGAACTATTTTCAAAGAGATCCAAATTCCAGAAGTAACTTTCACATATTTACTTACTGTTTTCCTTTTACTCATTAACATACTTCTCCTCTCTTGGTACAGCAATAAAAAATAAGGTGCCTGCTGTCTGCAGATGTGGGCTCTGGAGTCAGACACCCACCTCCTAGCTATGTGACTTTGAATATGTCACTTCATCTTTCTGATCATCAGTTTCCTCACTGACAGCATAGGACAATCAACACTTGTCTTAGATATATCTACTGAGGAAGTTAAAATGCTAAATGAAAATTCACATGAAGTACCCTGTAAATGCATGTTCAGTAGCGTTAGCCACAATTTGTTTCTATCTAGGAGCCCAAGACATCATTATCATCAGCTTTGGCAGCAATCAGTCCCTAATTTTGTCTATGATAGCTTTGGGAGCTGCTTGGTAAGTGACTGTTGAGTTGTAAAGCAGAACCTCTCCTAGCATTGTCTGTCCCAGCGGTTTCCACCAGAGCTTCTATAGGAGCTCACCCAAAGCACTGTCCTGCGGACAGGGTGGCCTGAAGTAACAGGCCAGAGTGTTTTCTTTCCAGGCTTTTTGTACACAAAAACATAATAGATGCAGTTTTAAGGAGCAAAAATTGGTGCCATTCTCTTAAAATCGCTTTTCAAAAGATTTAACAATACATTGTAGCCAGGGATTTAGCTCAGTGGTGCCGTGCCTGCCTGGCAAGTGCAAAGCCCTGAGTTTGATTCCTGGTACTGGAAAAAAAATTTTTTGAAACACATTATAAAAATTTCCCTATGTTTTTAAGCAGTATTCAATATGATGTTTTCCAATTTTTATTTTTTATTAGAACATGTTTGGAGTATATAATGATTGTATTCCTCATGGGAAGTTGGTACATGTACATAACACATCTTAATTCTTTTTTCATCCCCTTCTCTTCCTCCCCATTTTCTCCCTCCTTGATCCCCTTTTCT